TTTGGTCGAATATAAAGAAAGTTCCATGAATAGCAATTCTACATAGAAAAAATCTAAAATTCCCTTGGATTTCCTGAACTATTCACACAATTTAGAGATATCGGTGGAATTCTATATTAGTTCTGAGGACTTCAAAGGTGATTTTGTAACTTCATCCAAAATCAAGGGATTTCTTCCCAGGTAGTTCTGAGGACCACCTAATTTCTGTTGAATCTTAAGAATAATGCCGCCGATGTTGTGGAATGGTTTCTAAGTTAATTTCAATGAAAATCCTAAAGAAATTGAGATTGAACCTTTAAATTTCTATGGAAACATCAAAGGTAGTTCTTAAAGCATCCTAAGTTTAAATCTGAGAATAGTTTGAAGGCAATTCAAAGCGTTATTTGCAAACATCTAGCTCGATGTGCTCCTTTTTGTTTTGTACCGACCGGATTTGAGACAATCAGCGTTTTTACGGGCATTAATACAACATGTATGTGAAAATCAGTTAATATTAATACAGGAAAATCACCCGCGCTTTTGTAAGCTGCCAAGTAATGGGGTATGAAGTAATGAAATTGGGTTGTTAGCGGAATACTTAAATAAAACAGCAAAAAGAGGTTATCTTCCATTTACTCTGCACATTGTAGTTTCATTTTATACCTGTGATCTTGACATTTTTACCTAGGGGATGAGTACTTAAGGGGGTTAGGTTTTTGTTAAGTCATTAGTGGGAATTGTTGGCTCGACTGCCAACGTGATGTTTGACTTGAATCTAAAACGGCTGCTCGTTGGGCCTTGCCAACAGATGACGACAAATTCCAGCTGCACCAGCTGCGAGCCGACATCGCTTACTCGGAATCGGTAGTTCTTAAAAGAACACCGCGAAAGTAAAACTCTTTTTAGAGCAGCGACGGCAACAAGCAACGGTGGGAACAGCAACTCTCCATTTCGGAAGTAGAGGGAACAGGAACTCCACTGAGCAGGACCACCGACAAAACTACGACGGTAACAGGGACCCCTTGCATCGATATCGAATCGACGGGAAAACTGGAATTTTCTTTCTTGAATAGGATAACTTCAGCTTCTTCACTTTATATCTATATTGCTTGGCAATTCGGAAACGACTGACAATGTAAATGCGTGATTCGCTTGGTTTTATACTTTTTTGAATCAAAGAGAAATTAAATGACGATGATGATTGGTCTAACAATCTACTACGCAAAACGGAATGAACGTGTACAATGTCATAAAAGCTAGATTCTTATTGGATGTTTACACTTATTTCTGTTCTTATTGCTAGTGTTAGTAAGGGAAGCCGTTTGCCCGCGGCGTTCTCGGGGTTAGTAAAACAAAATGCAAGGAAAGGAAAAAAAGGATAGGGAAATATTTCTGCTGTGCTGATTTCTGCGGCCAACATCGGAAACGTGGAGTGGTTAGCGGTGGCGGTGTAATCGATACACGGCAGTGGTACCAATCTATTCGCTGTTGCGAACAGGAATGACACTGATGAAGACTGCACATTGTAGTCGAAATACGTATCTGTTATGGTCCCAAAATTATTTAAGTGGAATTAAATGGAAGATAACCCCTTTTTGTTGTAATGGGGTATGTCATGGCCTACCTAGTCATTCTCCATCGATCAAATGAAAGTAATTTAAAAATAGGGTTAGTGATGCCAGTAGTGTGGTGTAACAAATCAAATAAAAAAAAGACTACACTCCACACGTTTGATCGAAGTGTTTTTACACATTATTTTTCATATGCACAATCACATTTATTTTAAGTGTATTTCACCATGGTTCAATGTGTTCTACACCATAGGCGTATCCAGAGAGGGCAGGGTGCAACTGCCCCATCCCCTAAACTCAGCAACACAAAGACTTTCGGTGAAATGGCATTCGGCAAAAGTTTCCATCGTAATTTTTTTTTCACCCCTCTCTTGCTCGAAACCTGGCTACGCCCTTGTTCTACACGTTGATTTCTATTGTTTGAATCTTTGAAATGTTGATAATCTGTGTCTATCAATTTAAGTGTATTGCACATTGAATCACACTACTGTTTAAAACGGATGGATTTGAAGAGTTTTCCATTTCAATGTGATGTGAATTGCTTGTTCTGCAAGGTAAACATCGAAAACATGAGTTGTGAATTCATACTTATCAACCAGCCTCATATATGAGAAAAACCGTGGTCCAGTGAGATCGAACGAAGACAACGGCAGTAGCAGACCCCAACAGTCCAGGATCAAATCCCTAATCATACCCATTAAAAAAAGGCATGTGTATGCTCTGCCTTCTGGCAGCTTTGTTTATTTACCGTATGCGTGATAATGTTTGCACCATCGTACAAATAAGGTTCCCGTTTTACCTGTGCATACAATGCCTTGGTTTTCTTTGCATGCACGTAACCTATAGCTCATACCGTAGTAGGCTGTGTATAAAAGAAAATGATTTACTTAGTTTGACAGTTGCACCATGACGAAGTGGCAGCGTATTCGTGATTTGTCCCACGCGCAAATGTCGCCAAAAGGCATTTCAATCGCCGTGGGAGTGTCCCGGTAGACCGTCAAAAGGGGTTTAGACCGAGAAAAGAAAGGACAACTATCCGCGAAGGTGGCCACAAGTCGTCCGAGGTCAGCTCGGGTTCCGAGGGTTATCGCTGCTATCAAAAGGAAGATTCGGGTGAATCTAGTGCGTTCAACAAGGAAAATGGCAAAGGAACACGGGATCAGTGACTTTACGGCACGGAATATCGTAAAGGAAGATTGCGGGGTGAAGTCGAGGGCACGGAAAAAAAAAACTCACATGATTACCAACAGCATCCGGGAGCTACGAGTCGAACGATGCAAGAAAAGCTTGAAAATCCTGTTCACCGACGAGCATGTTTATCGTCGATCCCGTATCAAATTCCAGAACCGACCGGTATATTAGTTCTCTTCTGGTAAAAAACGTGGCCGACGAGCACAAGAACGTGTATCTGACCAAGCATCCTGCTAGCGTTATGGAGTTTGGATTGGTGGCTTCCGATGGCAAAAAAAATGGACCCGGTGTTCATTCCTGAATGCGACCAGGTGAACACGGAGGTCTACATCGGGATTGCCGTGTATTCCGGAAGCGTGTGGAGGCCGTAATTGCAGCAAGTGGAAACCCGATCGATGATTAACATAGCTTAAGACTCTGAGAAACATCCCCCTTTTGAATAAATAAAAAAAAAACTCGAAAACGAAATTTTTGAGAATTTTTTTAATTTTGACATTGCTCAATGGTGCAAACATTATCACGCAGACTAACTTCGGTTCGCCCGAAAAGGGCATTACAAATGTTGGTCCGCTCTTCTGAATGGTTGATGTGGATTTATTGATTGAGAGGATTCTGGAAAACTTATTCCGCACCAGGTGATCATGTAACCTTAAACTTCAGCTAACATCCGAAGGCTGCAGATTTTCCAACAAGTGGTTAATTGAATTAGAAACACGTTTTCTCCGTTTTTCCAAGGACAAACAACGCGCCCGCCTTGGTTAGCAGTTCCCTTCTGATTGCAACCAATTCTTCCGCGTGTGCTACGCAGCTGGAGGAAGCACAACATTGAAGCAATCGCAATTTGTAACTTGACACCACCGTAAGTGGAATCGTCCTGGGAATAGTCCTCGTCCGCGCTATGCCGCTGTTCTACCGGCCAAAACACGTGCACTTCCACATCAGGCAGCCACTTTCCGGCGTGTAAATCGTTCCGGAAGAAACAAGTACAGAACCAAAACTCGACAGCCACCACGGGGTGTGGGATGAGCTATTAATATTTTAAATGCATCAAGAAGAGGGTTATCACTTGGAAAGTTGCCGGCTGGTTGTGGTACGCTTGGAAGAAAGAATTCACTTCCCAAAGATGCCAAAAGCCAAAAGGTATAGCATTTCATAATTTCAGCTCATGTTTTATGGATCCACGTGGAATTTTGATGTTGCGCCGTGGCTTCTTGGGACTTGTATTTTTGCTTCGCTACTAGAGCTTGGCCGTTCAGCTTCGGTTGAAAAATTAAATACAAATTTCAGCGTAAATAATCATAATTTCATAAATGGAACGGAGGAGGAGATAAAACGTAGCAGGGAAAACATGACAAGAATGAGATTAAGGAATTATGTTTCAAACGATGGTGGTGGATTGAGATGTGGAACGTGACCAGTGTGGAACATTGAAGTGTTTGCGTGAGCCAAAATTTAAGATTTCACTCCAAATATGTAAAACATTACTTCTACGAAACTAACGCATATTACAATTTGAATTATTCCTTGGCAACTAGTTGAAATTTACTTTATACTCACGATGGAACCTAGCGACCAACGGTGCCACTTTAAGAATATGGCACCGTTCGCATAACGATCGCCATCGGCAATGGAAAAGTTTCCCAAAGCAGGTCGAATGAAAAAGTTGACTCCATCATCGTGAAAATTCTCCATTCCATTTCCAACTTTACTCTTTCCATTGCCCGGCTCCACGAAAGCGAAATAAGAGCCAAAGCAGTTTGACCGATAATACTCAACCCAGCATCCGCAGACCGGGAAAAAAACTGCAGCTGGAAGCACGGTGATGGGGATCGAGACCCTAATCTAACCTCGATAGTATAGCGTTCAAACTTACATAACCTTGTCATCATCACATTATCGGATTAGAGGATTTCGACGTTATTAAATTTGACTCTCTTCGTTTGCCAGAGTCTGGTCGAATTGCGGTGGACAGTCGGTCAATATTGAATTTGGTCGCTGGGTTTACTTTCTTTCCCTTGGCCATATTCTTTTCTGGCTGCTTGTGAAGTTTGCCAGTCAGTTGTGGAAAGTCGTGACATATGTGTGTTTGCATGCCTTGAGGACTTATCGTCTGGTAGTTCGTTTTTTTTGCCATGGAGTGTTCCGAATTGGATTTAGTGGTTTTTGCTAGGTGGAGGGTTTTTCCCCACTCGGCCCGCAGAGGTCGAGTGGGAAAGCGGGATGGACGGCAGCTGTGGAAGCTGTGTGGTTGGAACTCACCTGAACTCTCGCTTCGGTGAGGTTGATTTTCATCGCCAAATCCTCTCTGGTAAAAACATCCGGATAGTGGGTTTGGGCGAAGGCAGTCTCAAGCTCTTCCAGCTGTAAAGGGGTTTTTTTTTAAATATTGGTTTGTTTTGGATTCATCTGGATACAACTTACCTGTTGCAATGTGAAGGTTGTCCTATTTCTACGTTGTTTCCGTCTAACGAAACTTTCATCATGGATAGCAGGGTGGTAAGAGTAGCTGGTGTCTGTGAAAGAAGATACAATTTCAATCAGAATACAATCTTTTATTAAGGGTACGAAAACTTGTGCTTCTATTATGAGTACGAAATAATGAGAAATTTTGGTTAACAGTTATTTAACCTCTCACAATATTGATTATTTTAAAGAATATTTTTAGCGTATAGTTGTCACGTTCTAAAACTTAATGCATTCAAGAATAAATCGAAGTGATATTTTGAACTCTTACAATTGTTCAATAGCGCAAATCATGCCTCGAAGATATTCTTGCAAAAAAGTCGGTTGATCAAGAACAAAAATAATAATCTGCAGGGGGCCACCCAACTGGGAAAACCGGAGAAGCGAAAAATAATCGGCCCAATACCGGAATATGAATTTCAATCTTAATATATTTTGGTGTCTATTTGATCGAGGTCTGTTAATGTGTTAACTAAATGTACTGTTTTCTGTTCTGTATTTGATCAATTGAAGGCCTTTGGAATAATTCCTGATCAAAATCCAAAAATATCTAAGTGGCATGCTTTGATTTATTGAACAATAAGAAATCTGCAGGAAAATTACTAATATTCCAGAAGATTTTTGAAAATACCCAGAGAATAATATGCAGGTATTTGAGCAATTTAAAGTCTTTGTAATAATTCCTGAACAACCTGCTATTTTATGGGAATATATTAGATGCACATTTTGATTTATTGAACAATCTGCGATCTTCAGAATAATTACCAATCAAGCAGAATAATTGCCAAAACACCCATTTTGTAGGAATTTGATGAATTGAAGGTCTTTGGAATAATTACATCTGTGAACTTCTAAACATACTTGTGAGCTTCAGAAAAGTTCAACGCACTTCACTTAAATTCTGTGCATTTCACATGTGTTTTGAAACCTTTTTTTTCAATTCAACTAACATCAGAAATATTCAATGATTGTCAGAGATGCAAACCTTTGAGAAGCTTGTCGAATTCTAGGAAAAATTGCATTTTAGCAGAACTTCCGAAAATTATCGAGAAATGTTGTGTGTGTTTTTTTAATTTCTCTGAATGTTATTAAATTTTTCTGAAGCTCACGCAGTTCTTTGAAATTTGCAGGACTTTGCTGCAGTTTGTATTTATTTCCTAAATTCCTTAGATCGTCTTTTGATGTTCTTAGAAGTTATTTAAATTCCGTATTTTTTTTTTAATTTGTGCGTTTTATCTGAATGTTCACAGAATGTCTTTTAAATTCGTATATTTTCTGTGAAGTTTGAGATTTTTTTTAGTTCTTTTAAAACTTGCGAGCTTCTCAGAAATTCTCAGAAATATTCTATGGTATTTTGAGAACTACTTTGGCTTCCCTCTCTTCACATAACTTTTCCTGAAGCTGGTATGTTGTCGAACCTGCCGCCAAAATTCAAAATTACAGAGCTTGAATGTTTTACCTAGATCTTTTTAAAAACCAATTTTTATGTTCTGCCTCCCATTTTTCACTAGTCGCCTAAAAATCTGTTCAGAACGATCGCGATTGTCCTATTTAGAAGTGTTCGATTTTTTAAAGAGCCGTAAAACATTTCTGGGACTTCGATGAATTATGAGAGCTCAGACATAAAATAGTTATCTGAATTATGGAACGTGTGAAATTGGTAACGACACTGCAAACCAATTTTCTTTGTCAAATTTTGTATACAGAAATGATAAAATAATATATTATTGAATTATGAGAGACGGTGGGTGGCATTCACTAGCCCGGTCCCTCCCTTGCTTATACGAAACACTGGTCCTTACGACATAAGAGACGCGGATGATAGCCTCTTTTCAGCAGCATGCAGAATTAGCTGAGCTGTGCACTCATCCGTCTAAATAGTACCGCAGCAGACCTGCGGGAAAAAGGGATATCGACTTATTACCACTACCTACTTCTCTCCCTTCGGCTCGCAGGATTTGCCGATACGGTGTCTATCGTTGTGATTTTTTTGCTTATTCATTTATCGAATTAACTTTACAGAGCTGATGATTCTTGTCCACTACAAAAAAACATAGTAGAACTATAGTCAAAAGGTACATTACAATAAACACTTTATTTTCAGCTATCCAATAAGCCTTCTCCATCAGAACGGGATCCGCTTCCAGTAGTTTCATTGTAATGCAGTATCGCCAACGAAGGGCAGAGCGCTTCCATTGCAGCAATGGACGCAAAACGTGGTCAGCACTCACACACTCATCACGAAACGGTTGCTTTCCAAAGCCGGTGACGCATCGATCGAAAGAACTGCTGATGAAGGACAATGAGGAGGACCACACAATGGTTGCTGCCGAGTAAACAGACGATCGTGTGACACACATCTAAAGTGGCCTGCTGCTGTCGACAGCCCAGTGTCTACCATTGTGTGTTCTACTAAAACTGCAAAATTACGCCCAAATCACGAATCACTCCGGCAGTACTTACACGGAGAAAAAATACAACCCAAAATTTGAGTTAATTTTACTTAATTTTAAGTTGAGTTTCTCACCTGCACTCGTTATTGTTGTCGAAAAAGCAACGAGAGATTTGACCCAACGATATACAGTACTTTCCCGTTTTTGTCAGACCCATCTGAAAAAACGGGAAGCTGACAAAATCGGGAAATTTTCTTTTACAATATTTAACCATAAAAATAATTTTGAAATCAAGTTTATCCATTATTTATCCACTATTAATGGAATTACTGATAAATTTTTACAATTCTTACAACAAAGGGTACTTCGCTTGGTTTTCAGCGCTTCAACCCAGGCTGAACCTCCATATCTCAGTATCAACGTAAACACACTAGCCAGGAGCCGTCTCTTGCTACTGCTTGGTCCCGAGATGTTGGGTATGATTCTGGCTACCTCGTTGATGGCCTTTGCTACCTTCTCGTAGGCGTTTTCTACGTGGCTATTGAAGCTAAACGGTCGTCGACCATCCCAGGCATTTCAACACGCACTTCTTGTTTATTGCGTGCTTCCCAACGGTAATTTATGACCGCTGCAGCGCTTTAAAGTTACTGATCAATACCACCTCGCTTTTGATGTGGGCTATCTGCAGCTTCGCTCCATGCATTAGGTTTCCAATCATGTCGACCGCCTCGGTCACCAACATTTCCATCTATTCCAGCGTCTTGTCTGTTACCGTAAGACGACGTCGTCCACAATCACGTTCCAGAGCGTTGGACCAAGCCTTGTGGCATTCCCACCGTGATCCTAATCGATCTCTATTCCATATTTGGCTCGTAGATCAGAACCCGGTTCTGGTAATAATTCCTCATGATTCTGTACAATCAGGGACTCTGATTCTATGCAGCGCTTCGGCGATGGCCTCCCAGCTAGCGCTGTTGAACGCATTCTTGATGTCGATCGTTATCACGGCGCAATATCGATCTCCTCTCCGCTTCTGTTTGGACGCCTTCTCGGCTCTCTCGACCACTGTACGAATTGCATCCACTTTTGCTCTTTTTTTTCTAAACCCGTGCATTTCGTCAGCCTGTTTAGGATGATCCTCTCAAAGAGTTTTCCGAGTGTATCCAGAAGACACTGCTACGAGTTGCTCGTTGGTGACTTCGTCGTTATCTCCCTTTCCATCTCCGTACGATGTAGGTGGCCAGGTTTTTGGATCGTGCTTCGAGAAAAGTCCTTCCACGATGACTTTTAGATTCTCTAAGCACATTTCAGCTGCTTAACTTGACATCTGATCTTCGTCATAACGACACGGTGTGCGTCGTTAGGAGCAGCGTATCGACCCAGTTCCAGTTGACAGTTTGACTTGCTCTGCTTTATAGCAAACCCCACACGGTAAGAAATATTGTCAATAATGATAAGTATTGACAATAATATTGATGATGTGACTACATAAATATTGTCAATATCGATGTATTCACGTCAATATATAATGTATTGACAATATGATTATTGTCAATAAAAATTGTCGAGTGGGGTGTACTTATCACTCGTTTATGTGCTCGGAACATTCCTCTACGTTCCTCTCTGTCTGCTTCTGTTCTTGCTCTCTGAACACGTCTTCTGGCTCTGAGACAACTAGCGCGGAGGTTGCTAATTGCCTCGTTGCAGCAGTAAGCTGGAGGCCGTCTGTTATTTAGCTCCAGTTTCCTCGGCATGGTCGTGTCACATGCTCTCCCTAACGATTCTTTCAACCCGTCTTCCACTTCAGTCCAACTGGAACTGGAACTTCAGTGGAACTGCTCCATCGTCCATCGGGTGCTTAGCAACTGCATATGAATATTAATATTGGCGATTACTAAACCTTCTTGTTGAATGGGGAATCTGTCCATAACTTGTATTGCAGCCATCCCACCTCTATCCACCACCTAGTTACCTTTATCGAGAGGGACCCGATACAGCTGTGCAGTGTCGCAATATTTGAGGTTTATTTGAGTTACTCTCTGTTATTGTTGCGACACAACAATTAAGTGTCATTTGGAGCGAAATTGTTGAGAATACATGCTTAAAAACCAAAAAGTTCAGCAAAATCTTCAGGCTGACAAAATCGGGGTAAAAAAGCGGACAAAATCGGGGGTAGACACAATCGGGAGCTGACAAAATTGGGAGCTGACAAAATCGGGAAAGCACTGTAGTTCAGCCCAATAAGTTAGTTTTGAGTAACTTGCATGTTCATAAATTTACGCGAATTAAACTTTATTTTGGGTAGAATATATATAAGAGTAAGTATTTTTTGCCGGTATTAAATGGAAACTACTATATGCGATTTACTCAAAGTTTGGTTATTGGGCTGAACCCGGAAATTAAGGGAAAAGTACTTAATTTCCGGTAGTTTTTCATCTCCGTGTACCTTTGTTTTTATTTTTTGTCAAATGGGTTCTTTAATTTTGAAAAAAAAAATCGGTAATTTTACATCATCTGAAAGTGCTTCGTTATTTGAGCACAACGATATTTTTTTTCGATCCCATTTACCTCCATCTCAATTTTTAAATCAAGATTTATAGCAAAATAATCACTTATTTATCACTTAATAACTAAACAAATTGACAGCTCGCTCCCAT